TAAAAAGAACTGGGGATATAGCTCAGTGATAAGGCACCTAGTACCAGGGATGAGGAGGATTTCAATTTCCAATTGTTCATTTCTAATAGACGAAGCCACAACTCATCCTGATGAATTAAATTTACTGTTAGTTTTAGTAGCATTTTTTAGAGATTCCTCAAATTTTCCAGAGATGATCACATCTGTCTGAAATCACTAGGTTTCTTTTTTTTTTCAGTTGATATGTCTTTTATTTCTTTTTTTACTTTACTGTATTGGTTAGACCCTCTAGTACAATGTGGAAGAAGAGTGGTTTGTATGGATACTTTCCTTGTTCCAAATTCTAAGAGGAAAGTAAATAGTCTTTTATCATTGAGTATAGTATGAGTTAAGATTTTGTAGATGTTCTTTATCAGACTGAGGAAGTTTTCTTCTTTTCCTGATGCAGAAATATTTTATCATGAAAGAATACTGGTTTCTATCAAATATTTCTTCTGCATAAAAGAGAACATAATCTGTTTTTTTCTGTTAATACAATGACTTACGCCAATGAATTTCCAAATGTTAAAGCAACCTTGTATATCTGGGATAAAACCCAGTTAAGATGTATTATCCTTTTGTTATACTGTTGGACTTGATTCGTTAACATTTTATTAAAAATTTCTACATCTGTAGAGGATGGAGGATTTTTTTAGGGCAGTGGAAATATTCTTTGTGATGCTATTAATGGTAGATGTATGCCATTATACATTTGTCTAAACCCACAGAGTGTATACATTCAACAAGTGAACCCTAACAAAACTACAGACTGGATAATTATGATGTGTCAATGTAAATTCATCAACTATAACAAATATACTACTGTGATAGGGGAGAAAAATAATTGATGGGGCTGTGCAAGTATGGGGACAGTAGCATATGAGAAATCTCTGTAGCTTCCACTCAGTTTTGCTATGAACTCAAAACTGCTCCAGAAAATTAATTTTTTTTTTTTTTTAAGATAGGTCTCACTAAGTTGCTTAAGAGCCTCACAAAATGCTGAGGCTGAATTTAAACTTGTGTTCCCCCTGCCTCATGCTCCACAGCTGCTGGCATTACAGGCATGTTCCATTGCACCCAGATAGGAAAAAAAGGCTTAAGAAAGAAAGAAAAAAAAATTATGCAACTGTGTTCATGAGAGGTATTGTTTTTATCTGGTTTTTATATCCCATAATGCTGGTCTCATACAATGTGTCAAGAAGTATTCCTTTTTCTTAACCTTCTGTAGGACTTGAGATAGAACAAAGATTAATTCTTTCTTTAAATGAACGGAAAGAATTCACGAGTGAAGAGTCTGGGACCTGCATTTTCTTTGTGGGAATGTTTTTAACTACAAATTCAATCTTGTAATATATAGGGCTACAATAGTTATTTATTTCTTCTTGAGACAAGTGTAGTAGTTTTGTGACTTTTAAGGAATTTGTCCTTTTATCTAATTTGTCAAAGATTTTGACACAAAGTTGTTGATCATATCTCTTAATATCCACTAATGTCTGTAGTATCTGTAGAGCTATGTATCTCTCACATTAAGTTCTCCTTTGCTGCCCTTTGGTCATAAACTGCAGCAATCACAGGGCTCAACTTGTTTTCCCCCCTTCTTTTATAATCAATGTCCTTTGCTGCCAACAACTGCTTCATATATTTTGTCATATTTTTTAGTGGCTTATAGTGAGAGGGTAAATATCATGCTCCCTGTTATTTCAGCATGACCAAAAATGGAAGCTTTATCTTTTTTTTTAATATTTATTTTTTAGTTGTAGTGGTCAATACTTTTTTTATGTGGTGCTGAGGATTGAATCCAGGGCCTCATACGCGCTAGGCGAGCACTCTACCACTGAGCCATAACCCCAGCCCCAAGCTTTATCTTTTTACTATGAAAAATTTTAAACATATAAATGTAGATAATAGTATAATAAACCTTCATGTACTTAGCATTTAGTTTCTACAATTCTCAATCCATGACCAATACTCCTTTCCTACATGAACCCCTCTCTAGACTGTTTTAAGTGATCTCATATATCTTCCAATTTCTCCTATAAATATTACAGCAATGTATGTCTAGAAGATAAACTTTTTAAAACTCCACAACCATAATACCATTATCAAACTTAAAACACCATCAATAATTTTAGCATCAAACACTGAGTCAGTATTCATATTCTTCTGAATTGTTTTTATAGTTGATCTATTCAACTCAAGATTAAAATTAGGTCCACACATTACTTTTAGTTAACTTTGGGTTAACATGGTTTTTAAGTCCTCTTAAACTTAGTTTACTTTTGTCCTTGAAACTTATTTTAGAAACTGCACTGTTCAATAAAATAGGCATCAAAAAGCACTTAAAATGTAACTAATGTTATACTGAGGAGCTGAATTTAAAAATTTTAATTTAAATTAGCAACTGACTTTTGTTCCAGCTATCAGACATGTTTAGAGCAACTTGGGTGTAAAAACCAACTTTTGCAATTGTTAAGTTTTATTAAATACAAATTCAGATAAAATATTTTTGATGAAAATTATCATCTGACTTGAGATGTATTAAGCATAAAATCAATTATTTTGAAGACTTAGTATGACAAGGAGATATAGAACAGGTAATTAATAAATTTTCTATAAAACCAAATATACTTTTATAACTAATTTAATCTATTTCTTTTTACTTTCTAAAATTTGGCCATTAGAAAGAGTATAATTACACATAACATCTTACATTGTATTTCTATTAGAAAGTTTTTTTTTTTTTTTAAGCTTCAGGAGTTTTTTTTTTAACTTTATTTGTTTTTATTTTTATGTGGTGCTGAGGATCAAACCCAGCACCTCACATGTACTAGGCAAGTGTTACACCTGAGCTACAGCCTCAGCCCCTAATAAAAAGCATTTAAGTAAACCATTTGTCCTATGGGGTCCTCTATATTTTGGACTTTGCTATTTTGCATTGTGTCATTTAATGTATTTCTTGCTTCTTACAGTTCCTGAAAACTGGGAATTTTAGATCAGTGGTTCTCTACTGAGGGGCAATTTTACTACCCAGAGTAAATCTGGCAATGTCTTGAGACATTTTTGATTATCACTACTAATGTGTGTATTACTACTATCACCTGGTTGGCAGAAGCCAGAGTGCTGCTAAACATTCTATAATGCATAAGAAAACCTCTCACAAAAAGAATTATTCAGTTCAAAATGTCAATAGTGCTAAGGCTGAGAAACCCTGCTATCAGGGATTATGAAGACTGGAATTTGATTATTTCACAAGATTATTCTACAGGAGACAGCATACCCTTTTATGAGTATATAAAATATGTGGCTTTTTGAGTATTAGCTAATGTGACATACTGATTCATTAGCAGCTGCAAAGTGGTGATATACTAATCCTGTAATTCCTTTTTCATTCATCAGATTATTTTTGTAAAGCAAAATTCCTCTCTCATTTATTTATCAAAAACAATAGTTAACATAAGAAATGTAGGATAAATGCTTAAATTCTCTTTATCATTTTTCAATATAATAAGTTGGTTGCCTAAATGTCACACAAAGTGACCAATACTATTTTTTCAGTATCATGAATTTGTGGATTTAGACATTTGTGTTTTCATGTAGGATCCCTTCATTAGGGATCAATAGGAGAGTCTTCATGTAGGTTACTGAGATCTGTTAACAATCAAGTTGTCTTTTATTACTTTCTTACTTTCCCATATGACAAGATGATCTAGGGTTACTTTATATATATTTTTCCTGGGCCTGGAAATCAGAATCAGTCACTTCTCCAATGAGTCATTTTAGTAGAAAATAATATTTAGAGGTCATAATCTAAGTCATTTCAGTAAACAGAGTGAAAAAATTATTTTTCCTTTTTTTCAGAAAAAATACATTATAGCCTTTTTTAATACTTCCAATTCAAATAAACACCTTTCAAGTTTTATTACTTCATCTTCTTTATTTTACATCTAATATAAAATTCTATGCTGAAAATTCTAATGACATTAACATAATACTTATTTGCTTTACCCTATAACATTTTCAAGATAATGTTCCAAATACTGTTATTAACTATATATATATATATATATAAACCCTGAAAACATTTTTTTAAAATATTTTTTTCTTTTTCTTTAGGTATTTAGACTCAAACTGCTATGCTCAAAGTGATTTGGAATAATTTTTCTGTAATGCTATACTGCTAACTCACAGTTAGATACAACTGTTTCATTTTGCTTCTGCTAAATCTGCCTCTCAAATTTTTTTGTTTATTTTACTGGAAGACAGTCCAAAGGAGAAAAAAAATAAAATCTGTTTACATGAATGTAGCTTTTAAAATTTTTTTAAAAAATAAATGACAGTGGAATGCATTACAATTTGTATTACACGTATACAGCACAAATTTTCATATCTCTGAAACATATAAAGTATGTTGACACCAATTCATGTCTTCATACATGTACTCTGGATAATGATATCTATCACACTCCACCATCCTTGCTAATCCCTTGCCCATTCCTTTTCCCTCTCATCCCTCTGCCCTAAATAGAATTCATCTGTAGCTTTTAACCTTACTTTTTCCTACTCCTGAACAATTACAAAGAAAATGTTCTAGTTTATTATTATAATTTTTAAATAAGTAAAATATGATCTTCTGACCCTTTCTTGATCATATTTAAAAATTATATAATAATAAACTAGAACTACCATCTTTGTTGCCAGATCTTCTTTGGGTTGAAGTTAATGTACTGTATCACATTTTCTTCCCTATGCACACTATTTCAGTATTTATCACTTCACAGCCAAATATTAACAGAAGATTAAATTGCTGAGGTTATACAGCCTTTAAGTCTTTAAAGTATTACTTTCTCAATTGGCAGGATGTATTAAATTTATAAATTAAATAGCATAAATATCATCATACTGCAAGTAATAACATATGATACACGTTTTTAAACTAGTCAGAGACTGGAATCTCAAAATATAAAATAAAGGTAAAAACATACCTCTGTGATGCGTAGTTGTGATGACGCAGCCATATAATCTGATTCTAATTTGTTCTTTTCTGAAATTACGGTAGTATTCTGAAGAATTAAGTCTACTTTTTCTATGTGCAAAGTAGTACAAATCTAGGGACAAAAATCCTTGAGTTTAGTTCTTTTCCTAAGGGTATTGTTTTTATTTTTTAAAATGAAAACATAAATCATAAGAACAAACAAAAAACAACATTTTTTTAGCCATGTGTGGTAGCCCACACCTGTAATCCCACTGGCTCTGGAGGCTGAGGCAGAAGGATCTCAAGTTCAAAGTTAGTCTCAGCAACTTAGCAAGGCCTTAAGAAACTTAGTGGGACCCTGTTTCAAAACATAAGAAAAAGGGCTGATGAAAATCTAATTTAAATTAAGCTAATTTAGTTAAATTACTAATACTTAAGTTTTTGCTTAAGACCTTACCTCCAATAAAGCACTCTGAAGTTTTACTTTTTTTTTTTTAACCAGTTATTATCATTATTATTTTGCACCCAGGATTGAACCAGGGGTGTTTAACCACTGAGACACAACCCTAGTCCCTTTTTATATTTTGTTTAAAGACAGGCTCTCATTAAGTTGCTTAGGGCCTCACTAAAGCTGCTGGGGCTGGTTTTGAACTCACAATCCTTCTACCCCAACCTCCCAAATGACTGGGATTACAGGCATGTGCCACCACACCAAACTCTATAATTTATTTTAAAAATTATTCAAAATTAAGAAAATGACTTACCTTTACTAGGTTTGTTAATTCAGTAACAAGTTTTGCTTTCTGAATGTTTATTTCTCTGATTTTGGTAGTTGCTTTTCGCTCTTCCTCTTCAAGGTTACAAGTATCCTGTTCCATCAGTTTTAAACTGTATGACACATATGATGATGTAGAAATCAAAAGTTAAACAAAAGGAATGAACCAAAGCCTTAAGTCTCCTGCAGTTTTCTGTGCTATATTTAGCAATCCAATTCAAAAGTATAAACTGCTAGCTCCTAGATTAAATAGTTTTATGCAATCAAATCAAAAAGTATTTGTTGAGATAAATTATTCTTTACCAGTATAGTCTGATAATATTAATGGTATGGTAAAGGATCTGGAGCCAGATAGGTGGTTACAAATATCCTTTGTGCCACTCATCCATGCAGAGTGGAAACCTGAACAAGTTACTCTTATGAGTTTCAGTTTTGTCATCTGTAAATTGCAGATAATACTAGTATTTCCCTTACAGGAATATGAAGATTAAAAAAGGTCAACACTCGACATATTTAATATAGTGTCTGGCCCATAAATGACTAAAGAGTAGAAGCTGTTACTGTTGTTATTAATACTATTTATGAAACACAGTCCTTTCCCTTAAGGAGCTTACATCGAGAGAACTGATCAGTAGGTAAAAAACACAATTAAAAAAAAAAAAGACAATAACAATATGAAAAGTTAAAACCATACTTTTTTAAAGATGAAGAAACTAAGGCTCAGAAAATTTAAATTACCTAAAATCACAGATATTAAGTTGTAAGATGTATTTAACATCAAAATTCATGCTCTTTGCATTATACCATGCTACCCACAAAGAAAAAGAAGAAAGGATAGAAGCAATAATAAATAAGAATGAACAAGTTCAGTGGGTGTTGCAGAGTGGCTTAAATGGTACAAGTTAAGAATATGTTGGGATGGACATTCTGGTTGTTTTATTTATTTATTTTTTCAACAGTATTCTGAACTAAATGGAGAGGGGACTAGTCAGGGAGAGACTACTAACCAGGTCATCCCTGTATATCCCAAAATAAATAAAGGTAGGAACCCAAAAAGTCACTTCATTGCCTCCTACCCCCCAAATCCAACATTATCTTATAAGGAGAAAATTTAGTTTCAGACAATGAATCTACTACAGTAGTCACACAGTAAAGATTAAGTATATTGCAAACGACCAAACAGAAGTGAAGAGCTAAAAGTTAAAAAACAAAGAGGTTTAAAGTTGAAAAATGTTCTAAGAAGCTAGACTACATAGATGTATCTTACTTCAAGCAACCAAGGCATATTACCTTTTTGTGTGTGCCAGGAAATGATGAATCCAGGGGCACTTAAACACTGAGCCCCCATCCCCATCCCTTTTTTCTATTTTATTTAGAGACAGGGTCTCACCGAGTTGCTTAGGGCTTCACTAAGTTGTTGAGGCTGGCTTTGAACTTACAATCTTCCTGCCTGAGCCTCCCAAGCTACTGGTGTTATAGGTGTGTGTCACCATGCCCAGCAACATTCTGGGTTTTTAATTCCTAATACAGTAAAGATCAATAATATAATCCATATAAATAAAATTTATTCAGGGGACTCATTAATTTTAACCATGTAAATGGGTTTAGGGACTGGAACAGAAAAATTCACAGCATTTAAGATTCACCTCCCTTTCCCCTATGGACAATAATTATGTTTGACAAATGCCAAATGTCATCTTTGATATAAGGAGAGCAACTAAGAACAGAATAGGGAGGAAGGGCATGAGAAGATCACCATTAAACAGGGTCAAGAGGGGGATGGGAAAGAGAGAGAGAAGAGAAACTGCATGGTAAAGAAAGGAGACCCTCATTGTTATACAAAATTACATATAAGAGGAAGTGAGGGGAAAGGGGGAAAAAAACGAGAGAGAGAAATGAATTACAGTAGATGGGGTAGAGAGAGAAGATAGGAGGAGAGGGGAGGGGGGATAGTAGAGGATAGGAAAGGCAGCAGAATACAACATATACTAGTATGGCAGTATGTAAAAAAGTGGATGTGGAACCGATGTGAATCTGCAATATGTATACAGGGTAAAAATGGGAGTTCATAATCTGCTTGAATCAAATGTATGAAATATGATATGTCAAGAGCTTTGTAATGTTTTAAACAACTAATAATAAAAAAAGTTAAAAAATTGTGTTTAAGGAATAAGAAAAAATTTCAGAGAGAAATTACTATAAAATGTGCTTGTGGCAATGTGGTGTTGTTGCAGGGGTTTTGTTTGTTTGTTTGTTTGTGGTACTGGGGATTGAATCCAAGTATAGTCTACCACTGAGCTAAATTCTCAACCCCCCTTTTTTATATTGAGATACGGTTTTTCCTAAGTTGCCCAGAACACACTGAAGTTGTGATCCTCTTGTCTCAGCCTCTTGAGAAGCTGGGATCACAGGTGTGCGTTACCATGCCTGGACACAGGGTTTAATTAGTAGTTTCCCATGCAGTGCTTGGGACTCCCATCATTCCCTGTAAAAGGCCAAAAGATACCTTCCTAGTTTGGAACTAATTTTTTGTTCCAGTTGTCTCTTTTTTGTTTTTCTTTCAAGAAGCTCCTTCTTCTTTTGTCTCAGTTCATTGTCTTTGTGTTCTAGATGCCTGTTTGTCTCACGTAAGGCATTTAATCCTAAATCCACAGCTTGCAATTTTCTTTTAATTTCCTAGGGAATATTGAAAATTGTCAACATATTTTTAAAAGTTCGAGTTAAAGCATTAGAAAACCAGTTAATATTCTTTTCTAACCATTAAATCCAATTAACCAACCTTTAGCTGTTCTTCCAAGTGTCTTCTTTGTTCTAGATCCACTGTGACTGTGAGAAACTGGGCTACTTTCAGGGATGTGTTACTAGAAATAAGTTTGTTTGAATAAAAAGAAGTTTTCACCACATACTTTTCTTCTGCTGTATAAATTTGTTTTAATCGAGTTTCTTGTATTACCTATAATGTTAAACAAGAATTCATGAGCATCTAATAGAAAGACATGTTTTAAAGGACTAAAGAATTAAAACCATATATTAAGTAAATTCTGGAAGATCAAAACACACTAGGTATACTTTCTTCTTCTTTTTTTCCCCTTATCCTATCCAATAACATCTCTAAAAGGGTGAATAATACAACTTAGGTTATTATTTTGAAAAACCAAATGAGGGAAGAGTGAGGAAAAAATTGCACTAGCAAAGTCAGCTATACTTCCACTCTCTCCCAATTATACATTTGGAGCTTTATTACACTAAAAAATAGACCAGAGGAATTAGGTGCCCAGTATATTATACTGTTATTTTGATTAAGTAATTTACTATGTCCTCCCTTGGCTGTATTGTTCAAAGACATATAATCTTTTATTTTCACCTTTTTTGAGGTCTTTTCTCTCAAGAACTTACACAAGGAGGTTCATAAGCATAACCATTCTGCCCATAAAAACATTATTAGATCTGTTTTTACATATTTATCAAGAGTAGGCTGCTATGATGGATTTTTCACCCAAATCTTTAAAGGTTAATAACAATGCTATTATGGCTTATTTCCTTCTAAAAATTTATAATTTAAGTGAACAGATAAGACACATTTAAGTACACTTAGTTAACAGGGTTATAAACTGTCATCCTAAATTCTAAATTTGCAATAAGATACAGTCCAGGTGAGATTAGCCTTTGCAAGTTTCATGAAAATGAGTTTTAACTGGGATTTTAACTGACAGAGATAACGAAAGGAGGGCATTCCTAGAAAAAGGACATTCAAACTAAAAAAGTGAGTAGACTTCTAAGATTAACCAAAGAGGTGAATCTTAGAAATTAGTGGGAGAACAATCCCATAAATAGTGTATAATCACTGTTAGAGAACTTAATATATTTAAGACTTGACAATAAAACATACACTAAAGAATATATTTTTATTCTAAGGAAGAAATATAGCTATTATTGCCATTACCTAAAAATGAAACAAAAAGAAAATTTATTCAAGGAAGAAATACAGCCATTATAACCATTTCTAGACATGAAACAAACAGAAGAACTAAGGTACAAAATTTCTCAATAAAAGTTTGTATATTGTGAAAGACAGCCAAGATAATATCATAGCTTTACCAGGTACTTGAAGCACTTCCTAACATGGATTAATTGTACATATACATGTCTAAAAATTATCTCATCATAATTTAAATTATTTTTACACAACACAGCACAAGGCTGGGCATTGAGACAATCAAGTATAAGAAACATTCAATATAATCAAGAATTTAAAAAGTATTATTACTTATATAAATACCAAACAGATTAAGGTGAATGAAATATATCTGAAAAGAAAGGGTAAGAGAAGAAATAATTTTGTTTTAACGTGAGTTACAGGAATTGAATACTGTGACTTAAACAAAAGGTGGGGCTGGGAAGGATGGTAGAATAAGACAGACATTATTACCCTATATGCATGTATGTATGATTATACTACTGGAGTGACTCAGCACCATGTATAGCCAAAGGACTAAGAACTTATGCTCCATTTGTATACAATATGCCAAAATGCATTCTAATGTCATGTATAACTAATTAGAACAACAACAAAAAAGAATAAACCAGGAACTATGTAAAAAAAAAAAGTGAATCTTTTGAAGCATCATTCAAAAGATTTTCCAAATGCAATCTTTGCTCCTTTCTGCCGCAAAGTAAAGCTATGAAAGTCTACTGTCTTTCCCCATCAATAAGGAATTACTACTTCTACCCTTACTTCAAGAGATAGCTCTACCTATTCTTGGAGTTATGACATAAATTCGTTTCATCTACATAGATGGTATTGTTCTCTTTTCTAAATCTCACTGACTTAAGACACAAGAGAGGTACCCCCATATAAAGATTTCTAAATTTTTATTTTCCAAGTGATCCTACAAATATGTCATTTTAACCAAAGATACAGGCAATTTGGTACAAGCACTCTTTTTTTGCGAAATGAGTTGATAAGGGCCCTTTTCTTTTTTCCTTCTTTTTGTTTTTGTGGTCCTGAGGACTGAATTCAGAGCTTTATGTATCCTAGGTAACAACTCTACCACTGTTCTTTATTTTATTTTTAGATAATGTTTCACTAAGTTGCCCAGGTTGGCCTTGATTTTGTAATCTGCCTGCCTCACCCTTGACCCCCAAGCAATCCTGGTATTACAGATGCATCACTGCACCCATCTAAGGATTCTCATTTCTTTCTTTTTAACTTTTTTCCAGGGCCCTCACTTCTTTTTTTATATACATTTTATTTATTTGTTCTTTTTAGTTATACATGACAGTAGAATGTATTTTGACATAAAAGGAGTATAATATCCCATTCTTGTGGGTTGTACATGATATGAAGTTACAATAGTTATGTATTCATATATGACAAAGGTAAGTTATGTCCAAATTCATTCTACTGTTTTTCCCTTTCCCACTCCCTTTCTTTCCCCGCACTTCCCCCACTCAATTTGGTGGACCTCCACTCCTCCCTCCCCACCACCTATTTTGAGTCAGCATCCACATAACAGAGAGAAATTTGGCCTTTGGTTTTTAGGGACTGTCTTATTTCATTTAGCACGATAGTCTCCAGTTTCATTTATACACTGGCAAATGCCATAATTCCATTCTTCTTTATGGTCAAGTAGTATTCCGTTGTGTATATGTACCACATTTTCTTTATCCATTCATCTACTGAAAGGCACCTAGGTTCGTTCCATAGTTTAGATATTGTGAACTGAGCTGCTATAACACTGATGTGACCATTTCACCATACTATACTGATTTTAAGTCCTTTGGGCATATGCCAAGGAGTGAGATAACTGGGCCAAATAGTGATTCCATTCCATGTTTTCTGAAGAATCTCCAACAGTGCCTTCCATAGTGATAGTGGTTGCACTGATTTGCAGTCCTCCTAGCAATGTATGAGTATACCTTTTCCAAAATCCTTACCAACATTTATTGTTACTTATATTCTAGATAACTGCCATTCTGACTGGAGTGAGATGAAATCTCAGTGTAGTTTTAATTTGCATTTCTCTAATTGCTAGTGATGTTGAACATTTTTTTTCATATATTTGTTGAGTATCATATTTCTTCTTCTGTGAAGTGTCTGTTCAATTACTCACTTCTATCTTCTATTAGTGAAGTATTCAGAGCCCCAAATGAATGATTACCCATCATGAATGATCTGAAGAATACTTCTATACTGACTGTTATAAAATGAACTCAGTATTATAAATAGCAATTAGGTTCCCAGAAGTTTATATACTGTATTAATATGGCAACATGCTCCCCAAGCCTCTTTTCTTTTGAGACAGGGTCTTACTAAATTACTTAGGACCTTGCTAAATTGTTAAGGCTAGTCTTGAGTTTGTGATCCTCCTGTCTCAGCCTCCCAAGTCATTGGAATTAGAGGTGTGTGCCACTGTGCTTGGACTTGCTTTATTTTAAACTAAGAAGTTTCAATGAAGCTATGTTTCAGTAACGATTCAATACTTTTCTTACCCGTTCAATTCTTTCCCTGGTTCTTTCAGTTCCCACAGGAACTTCATGAATATGATACTGGCAACAAAGGTAACTCATTACAGGATCAGGTGCATCAAATAACTCTCGCAAATAGGAGAAAAATCCATATTGTCTGAAAGGAAAAGTACTAATTTTTCAAAAGAACATTTAAAAATTGATTGTTAAAACTACAAATTATTTCAACAATGGAATAGGAATTCTTTTTTAAAACATTTTAAAACCACTTAGTATTATTTACTTGTCAGAGAAGTTTAAGTTTATTAGAAACAAAGTATTCTTTTGTTGTTTCTTCTATTGTTCTTACATTTAGAATGTCAACTTATATCCAGAGTTAAGATATTCACTTATAATTGTTCATTACTGCAATATTTACATTTAGTCCTTCTGGAAATTATTTCTGTATTATTTGCCATTTAATTTTCCCAATACCTAACCAACTCTTATCTTGCATCTTTAATAAAAGATATTTAGCATTTTCCATTAAACAGTCCAGTATTATTCCACTGATTTAAATTATCACCTTCATCACACACTATGCCACATGATATATTCCTGGGCCTAACTTCTTCCATATTTTAGACTTCAGTAGATATTCTACAAGAGAATAGTACAGTTTACATCAAACATACTATGTGACAAGGAGATAATCAAAATATATTTAAGATTATTCAATATTCAAATTAGTTGTAACAATATTTTCACAACTTACTTTAGTTCATTCAGAGACCTTGAAGGTGCTTTGTCTGCATATGAACTCTTGGGAGCAATAACAGCATTTACTCTTAACTTTTTATTGTCACGAACCTGGATATAGGGAAAAGAAAGTATTATCTTAATTATCATGTATTCTCAATTGAAATGATTTTTCAAGTTGCTATATTGCTACTGTCATTCATGGGATAATCAGGAAAAAAGCAGAACAATGGATGTTTGATGATACTTAGATAGTATTGCTTGTGTTAATGGCAGGTTACAAAGTATTGGGCTAACCTTTCTACAAATAATTACTACAAATTCTGAACTAGATTTTAAAAACAATCATATGGCCAGCTCAGTGGCACTTGTAATCCCAGCAGCTCAGGAGGCTGAGACAGGAGTATCGTGAGTTCAAAGCCAGCTTCAGCAAAAGTGAGGCATTAAGCAAAGCAGTGAGAGCTTGTCTCTAAATAAAATACAAAATAGGGCTGGGGTTGTGGCTCAGTGGTCAAGTGCCCTGAGTTCAATCCCCAGTTCCCCCTCAAAAACAAATCATATGAAGACATTGGAAAAACAGAAGCTGGAGGAAAGTTGATACTCAGAAGAGAAGAAAAGTACTGAAATTTGTGCTTATGTGGTTTCAGGGTAATCCCCAATCTGGAGCACAGGAATGGGAATAAAATTCAGGTAGAAAGCTGTAGTTTTGTTGCTGTAGGAATCATAGGATGGAGTTTTGGGGTAACTAGAATGGCTACAAATTCTTAGAAGGAGAGTATTGCAAAGAAAGAAGGTCCAAAATCTGCATATAAACTCCTGTTTAAATCCTTGATTGACCCTTAAACTATAAAGGGATGAAAAATTCGAGGGGGCTGGAATAAAGCAACAAGTGGAAGGCTGAAAAAACTGCATGTAGATTTCAATTGCTGCCCATTGCATGAGATAGAGTTTAGAATTCAACTAAGTTAATTGTCTGTTAATCTCTTTAGAATAAGACAGATGAATCCAGTCTTTACATTATCTACGCGGTAATTTTTTATTGTATACTAAATGCACCATAGTCAAGAAAACAAATAGTGAAGAGAAAATGACCTCAGAAGAACTCAAATATTGGAATTGGAAGGTAAGAACTTTATTTTTATTATGTGTGTGTATATAAATTCAAATAACTATTTCTCCTCCCATAATCTTAAGATTTCATTTTATATATATATAGATACATATATATACACATATATGACTATTTTAGTATTTAATTTTTCAAAATAAAACACACAAACATATAATCCTGTACTTATTACTCTTTGACAATATGTTCACTTGATTATTTAACTTTCTGGAAATAAATTCAAATAACTAGTTCTCCTCCCATAATCTTTTTTTAAAAAAAATATTTATTTTTTAGCTTTAGGTGAACAAAATATCTTTATTTTATTTTTATGTGGTGCTGAAGATCGAACCCAGTGCCTCATGTATGCCAGGCGAGTGCACTACTACTTGAGCCATATCCCCAGCCTCCCCCCATAATCTTAAGATTTCATTTTTCTGATACTAGCAATGCTCCTGTTCTAATTCTACATTACTGGGAAATTTCTTCCTACTGACTACAGAGTTGAACAATCGATTCTCAATTCATGCTTGTTTCAATCTGATTTCAAAATCCTAACAGTTGATGAGAGAAACTTGGAAATAAAGAAAATAACATTGTCTTCCCCCCCCTTTATTTATTTATTAGTTTATTTATTTATTTATTTTGAGAGAGAGAGAGAATTTTTAATATTTATTTTTTAGTTTTTCGGTGGACACAACATCTTTATTTTATTTTTATGTGGTGCTGAGGATCGAACCCAGCCTCCCGTGCATGTCAGGCAAGCGTGCTACCGCTTGAGCCACATCCCCAACCCCAACATTGTCTTATAAGTTCAACTAGTAAAATTCACTCACAACGAATATAATAACATTTCAGTGAGGGTTTTCTAGGAAGCTTCCTGATATGTTTACTGGACTATTTTACTGGACTATTTTTGAATTCCTGAAAACCAATAAAGAAAGGTAAGCTTAACATAATGTTCAAGAGACAAAATTGGACAATGATTTTTATTTAGTAAATTATAAAAAAATCAAATTATATTTTGATTTAGTATACACAGAAAAGGAGAAAGATAAAAAATTACAAATGGTAATGTAAGCTACGATAGATGGTAAAGAGAAAAACAGACAAAATTATATCATATAAATGCTAAAAATGGAAGCCAATAGTTTACAAATACCAGACAAAGGAGACTTAAATGAAAAATGTTATGAGAGGGAAATGTTATAGTTTTCTCACTAAATGTGCATGTACCTAATAACATAGCTTCAAAATGCATCCAAAGAGTGACTGAACTAAAAGCAACACAGATAAAGTTCAAATCATAAAAGGAGATTTTCCCATACTTCTCTCAGTAGTTGATTAAGCAAACGGAAAACTGGAAAACTATCAGTAAGTTTATGGAAGATTTTAATTACTAATATTTGAATATGTGCTTATGGTTATATATCTGTATAGGAATGTGTGTGTGTGTATATAATTCTAAAAATATCAAAATGCATATATGAAGTACACAGGCTTACCAAAATTATAAATATTCTGGGTCATAATATAAATCTAAACAATTTTCAAAATTATTCATGTTTTTTCTTTTTTTATTTGTTCTTATTGATGCTTTACAATTGTACATTAATAATGGGTTTTTCACTGTTTTATACTCACACTTACACACAACATAACTTGACTAATTTCATTCCCCACTACACAACCCCTGGTCTTCTAATCTACATGAGAGAAAACATATGGTCCTTGACTTTCTGAGTCTGGCTTATTTTGCTTAACATAATGATCTCGAGTTCTGCCCATTTTCCTACAAATGACATAATTTCATTCTTGATAGCAAAGTCCACTATGAGTATTTTCTTTATCTGTTCATTGATGGACGCTTAGGTTGATTCCATGTTGTGGCCATCATGAACTGTGCTGTTATAAACACGGGTATGCATTTATTGCTGTATCACGCTGACTTTAATCCATTTGAATACCAAGGAGGTGGTATAGCTGGGTAATACAGTGATACCATTCCTAGACTTTTAAGGAACCTCCATACTAATTTCCATAGCAGTTATACTTATTTACAATGCTATCAACAGTGTATAAATGTTCTCCCCATGCCCACATCCTCACCAGCATTACTATTATCTGTATTCTTGATGCAGGTAAAAACTTTAAAGCAGGTATGATGTAAGAAAACTATCATTATAATGAATGAACAGAGACCTTTAGCAGACAAAGAAATAAAAAAAAATTAAATAGAAATTCTAGAACTAAAATATGAAGTATCTAAAATGAAAAATTCACTGACAGGCTTATTGGTAAAAGATCCTGGCAACATTAAAAAACAGTTTATGCCAGAAACATGAACATTTTAATTAAAATAGAAAAAATTCCTTTGAAATGAGAATAAAAAATAGAATAATATTTACACTTATTAGTGAAACTGAGTTTTCTATAAAAATTCCAAAGATAGCTCCAGATTCAGATATCTTCACTGATAAATGCCATAAAACAGTCAACACCAAAACTTGGCAGAAAAAAGAGGAAACACACTTGCAAAATCATTTTTATGCCATACTCTCACTGCAAAACCTGACAAAAAAAAAGACTATAAATTATTATCACTCATAAATACAAATGCAAAAATATTTTTTATAGACAGAATTCAGCAATATATGGTTACATGACCATGCAGAGTTAATTCCAGGAATGTCAGAATAACACAATACTCCAAAATCTACCAATCCAATCTATCATATTATTAGACTAAGTACAAAAGCCATATGATCATCTCAGTAGATACAATTTATAAAGCAACTATTAGAATTCAGTAAATGAATTTAACAGTGTCACAGGATACAAGGTTAATATAAAAAATAATTTTATGTCTGTGTACTAGCAATAAACAATTATAAAATGAATTTTAAAAATCCATTTTCAACAATCAAAAACAATGTTTACTTTTATACATTAAAATATATATTTAACAAAAGATGCTGAAAGATGTGTGAGAGGCATGGTGGGACAGTAGAACAGAGAATATTTCATAATAGCACAGATTAGCAATTCTGAAACTACATTCAGAGCATTCTAAGTTTGAAAAATGAGTAAATACATATGGGGTGCTATGCTTTTCATTAATACAGAAAGAAATAATAAATATTTAAAAAATTAGAGAGTACCCACTAATGCAACAATGCCAAATGAAAAAACAGCAGTGTGAACTCAAGGTACATTTAGCTCTCTAGACAAATAAAGAAATAAGTAGATATGCAGGTTTGCATGCAAGGACTTAGAAGTAATGAGACACCAGCAACAATGAAAATAACTAGCTCCTAGGTCTTGGTTTCTAAAAGCAACTAGGGTCTTTGGGAAAAGGAATAGTTGTGCAGGATATGTTCAAGATGAGCCGCTCAATAAGGCAATAAAATAAGAAATGCTGAAAATATGATGACAACATATCCATAGGACACAGGAGTCAATCTAAGTTTTCACTGGCCAAATCTGGGACAATTTGAGCATTATGATAGTAATGGCCATGCACAGTGGAGCATGCCTGTAATACCAGTGGCTCAGCAGGCTGAGACGGGTGAATTTCGAGTTCAAAAGCCAGCTTCAGCAAAAGCAAAGTGCTAAATAAGCAACTCAGTGAGACCCTGCAAAATAGGGCTAGGGATGTGGCTCAGTGGTTGAGAACCCCTGAGTTCAATCCCTGGTACCCTCACCCCCACAAAAAGACAGTAATGGATAATTCATAAAATTCTCTGGGTCTATACCAATACAGTAAATAAATAAATATAAATAAATGGAGAAAAAGCTCTTTTAGTGGAATGCCAGCTAGTAAACTTCGAAGGAAAGATTGAGTTAGACTCATAAATAGTTCTTTTAAAAACAAATTACTGCTATTATTATCATTTTTGTGGTTTGGGGGAAATCTTACATAGGGCCTTGTGCATGCTAAGCAATCTCCAGCCCCTTATTAATGGAACTTAAACCTACTAGGCAGTTTCATGAGAGACAAGATATTTATTGTCTCAAAAAAAAATTACAAGGAAAAATAATTAAAAAGAAAAATAATCAGTTTTGCTATACTTATTGTATAAAATATACAATTTTATTTGTATATTAATAATTTAATGTGTAACAAATTTGTTCTAAGCAACTGATATATTAGATATTAGGAGACAATTTGAGTACTATATGAAATTCACATTTACTTACATGCAATTTCATACACTAAGAAACAAAAGGTTATCTGCAAGAGAATGCAGAAAACTGCATCCCACTGAACCAAGTGTCGTATATCTTGTATTGCATAACTGAACACACACATTCACACCCCTTCAAACATCAACAAGCCACCTCAGTTCAACATGTTTTAAGCCATACCCACCTATATTTGCAGTTACAATTTTTCATCCAATTTCAGATAACCAGTTTAAAATTGTTTTAGTCACTATTAACTCACAAGTTGCACAGTTCTAAGGCTCAGGTCTTTTTCAAAAGGAAGCATCCTACTTATGTTATTTGTACATTAATAATTTAACATGTAAAACTGTGCTACCATTTTTACTAGGTTCATTTTTTTGAATCCATCATGAAAAATTTTGAAAACTGTATCCTAACCCTTTCCCTTCCATAAGCCCTGTGGGATTTTACTGCACATTCTGCACAGCAAAGTGACTTTTATTTATTTATTTTTTGGTACCAGGGATTGAACTGAGGGGTGCTTAACCACTGAGCTACATACCAGAACTTTTTATTTTTAGACAGGTTTCACTAGGTGGCTTAGAGACTTACTAAACTGTTGAGGCTGGTTTCAAACCTGCAATCCTCCTGCCTCAGGTACCCAAGCCATTGGGATTACAGGTATGTGCCACTGAACCCAGCTAACACCGTGATTTTAAAAAATGTATATCTTGTATTGTAACACAACTGACTGTACTTTGCAATGGAGAAACAATAAAACAAACAGGGCAAAATATAAATAGTCAATCTGGAAAACCGGAATACAAAAATTCTATCTACTACTCTTACAGCTTTTCTGTAAGTCTAAAATCATCAAAATAAAAATTATTTTAAAAATCAATAAAGGAGTGGGAAGTAAAATGAAAGAATACAGGCTGTGAGTTAATCTATCATTAATGCTAGTATATAAAGTTCATAAAGTTTTGAAAAATCTATTCTTTTAATGGTTATTTTAAATAAAACTGAATAACACAGTGAGAAAGTAATTTTATTTTCAATTCTATTTCAATATTTCTAATTATATCAACGAGAAAGCTATAGTTGTCAACATGTCCTTAATTCCCTGTTACCTCTTTTTAAACATATTACATGCTTTCAGCAAGCACCAGTACAGGTCTAGAATTTACTAACATTGTTTTTATTTTCTTACTGTTGTACAAAACAGTTGGTTTCTAATTTGATAGTGATATGCTTTCTTTTAGAATACTTTGTTTGGATAACAAATATTCAGGTGACTTAAAGAAAAACAGTAATTGATATTATAGGCAGGACCCAGACTTTGTAGAACTTGTGAAGGTAGCACATGATAGTACGGAGAAATGGAAAAAATTGTGACTACTGTTTGTAAATTACTGAGGGATGAGAAATGGTACTCTAGTAGATATAATTACAGGATAAAGTTATACAGAATAAACTTCACAATTTAACATACACACAAAAAATTATATGTATGAGAAAGTTCTGGTCCTACCTGATAAGTAGCTATGGAAAGATAATTGTTATAAGCACAAGGGAAAAAAAAAAAGTTCTGGCTAGGGATATAGAGGGTGTGCCTAGTATTCTCACAGTATTAGAACATAGTTCAAATCCTCAGTGTACAGGCAACATAAACTTTTGACACAAGACACTCAGTGCAAGCTAAGTTGGTCATCTAATTAAACCTGATTATATGACTTTACAGTATACCATGTCTTACAGATATATAACTTTAATAACTGGCTCTTTCAGTGCACTCTGATGTAAGATCAATAATTCTATAGTCAGGCTTGAAACAGTTTTAACATACATAGATGTTCAATAATTTGGAAGCCATTTTATAATTTTATATATGTATATAAAACATAAACAAACACACACACACACACACACACACACACACACACACACACATTTTTAAATCCATTTACCTTTATGTTCATTCTCTGCCAACTACTGAACCAGGAGTAGGGCAATATGATAAAACCAAAGAAAGTTAAGGATTCTTTCCAAGCATTTGTATACTACAGATACAGGGGACCGCTTGAGCTGATCTAGGGTACTGTCCTCACTTAAATTAACAAAGGTTTAAACAAGACCAAAATAGATAATCTAAACCAAGCTTTATAAGCATTTTACTTTATTTTATTTTTTGATGTAACAACATTTTAAAGTAGCTTTTATTGATAAGAATTTGCTTAACAAGCATTTTAAAAAAAGAGAAAGTACATGAAAAAGGGAAATTAAACCTTACTGATAATAACAATATACAGTTGATAATATATAAGCTGTAAAACAAAATCATATGTACTTAACTATATAATATATAATACAGCATGTAAAATATAAAAATATTGATTTTGCCTTCAAAGAAAGACTGACTTTATCTAAATACATGCTCAAAAATGGATGACCAAAACCTAAGGCCCATCATTGTTTCTCTTTGAATCTGACAGAATTACTTTTCAAACTAATTTCAAAATATGTTACAGGTGAAATTATGTGCTGTTTGCCTTTTATAAAACAAATTTATTGGGATGGGGGTATAACTCAAGTGTGGTAGAGCATTTGCCTAGCATGTGTAAGATCCTGGGTTTGATCCTCAGTATCACAAAAAACAAATCAATAAAACAAAAAGTCAAACTTATCACTTATAATGACAAAAAAAAGGAAAGAAATTAGCAAAACTTAGTAATTTTACACAAAACTCCTAGCAAAAAAAAGTAGCTACTACTTTTTGCTCTATAATTAAATATTATAGCACTGAAAGGCAAATGTTACATGTGCTACACTGGTTAGTACTTACCTCTCTGAGGAAAACCTCCATATCTTCTTGACTTTCAAACACAAAGGCTCTCAAGTCATTTGATGGAATATGATTTTCAATATATTTGGCATTTTTATTGTCTTTCATATTGATCTATACAAAACAAAAAGAAAAAAGCTGATCTTCATGGAACCCCTTGATTATTAGAACATATTTATATTGAATATCTTTATTTACTCAGATTCATACTTGAGAAAAGAAAGACAAGAAAAAATGACTGGGTACAGAACAGTCTTTTAAAAAATCTAGTCTGTTACCAAGAAACGATCAATACATACTTAAACAAAAGCCAAGATTTAAATAGTACCTAATGCATATTAATTTTGATGCTATATAAGAGATAACTTTAGTTTTTTTTTTCTGGTCAACTCATTGAAAACATATGAAACAGTCTTAGATTATGACTTAAGAGTTGAAATATTTCTCTTTTCCCAAGCTTTTAATATTTTTCTTCTTAATCTTCAAGAGAACTTAAAATTATATATGGCAATAACTGATAGATAATAAAACACAAAGAACTAAAGAGTAAAACTTTATGAAACTATTGGAAACCTAGGTTTACACCACCATAGCATAAACTTACAAACATCTTTAAAAATTAATTAACTAGGCATTTCTGCCATGTGTATTTCAATTTTATGGAAAATATTAAGATATGTCAGAGAAAACAAACTATCACAAGAAGAGTCCAGCCCTAAAATTTTCTATACATTCTATTCTATATCTTGTTTTAAAATTATCGTGCCATAAATTTCCTCTTATGTTATTAATTAGAAACCTACAGCAGTATTTTTAATGGCTCAATAGTATTCCACTATAAAAAATAAAGTAATTTACTTTCACCCATCAGTAAGTATCTTCATAAATTTTCATCTTTTGCCTCATCTGTAAATGAACCCTTCTACACTTCTGTAACTCTACATTGGAATTATTAGAAATAAATTATGTAAATAGATTGCTAATTGGTGAGGTACATGACTAAGTCTGTATATTGCTATCTTGCCTATCAAGGTAGAAGCATTTCAAGCAGGCCTTGAAGACTTAAATAAGTATGTATGGGGACATTCAATGGAGGGAAGTGTTATGTTATGAAAGGAGAAGGGTTACTCTATAAAGGAAGAAAAATCAGAGTATCTCTTTTCACTTTAAATATTCAAATATAGTTTAAAATATAAGTATATGCCAACTAGTAATATGATGTGATTAGAAAATCAAATGACAAGAGAATGAGAAATCTAATTAAGTTCTGAAATATTATTTTGAAGTCAACATTTTAATAAAAATCAGTTGACAATTATATTTGCATTATAAGATATCAAGGGTGACAATATTTTTCTCATATTTTCCTTCCAACCTAATCAGATAAATCAAAACAATGTCTACATTCAAAATAGAAATTCTCTTCTTGATCTGGAAAAACATTTTAATAATATGTACTTGAGCAAGAAGAGAATACATCATCTATATTAATTTTGTTACTATAAAAGATTGAAATATATATATGAAAAGATTTTTAATAAAGTATAACGCAAATATGTTACAGAAAAAAAAATAAACTTTTCATGAATCCTGCAAAGACCTACAGTGAATTTTTTTAAAATAAATTATCTAGCAAAATAATCCTTAAATCATTGTGGGGTAAGTTTTGAGCTTATATGTCAACGACTAAAATGTCATTATCAAAGAATGTAGTTTGTCACTTTCTCATTTTTTTACATAAAACTGATCATTTTACAGTTTAGAAATTATTCTATTAAATTCATAGTCACAACTTATTACATATTTACTAAATATAGCTTTACCTGTTCTTAATGACCCACAATAATCAATAAAGGCAACAATATGTCAATAAACTACTTGCTTTATTCTCAAAATTCCCAGAATGTCCTTTTAAATAACAACCAATTTCTTGCTCATCTTGTCACGTGTTCCTCATTAATGTTTTTATTTACACAGTAGTTTTCCAATTCTTTAGCAGGTTTAAATCTAAAACAAGCTATAATGTAATAACCAGCCTAACCAAGCTAAGTTTATACAGGATTCTTGGCCTGTAAGCTTCTAGTTTATACCTCTTACTAGAAAAAAGTTTGCAGGTTTTATAATACTATTATAGATCAAGGGGCCTTTTATAAAGTTCATTTATGGATTTAGCCCAATACCAAAGATGCCAGAAGCCTGATAACAGAAAAAACAGTATGTTAACAGGACTAAAAATTCTTTAAAAAAATTAACAACAACAACAAAAAATGCACAATGATTACAATAATAAAACTACAAGATGTCACTGAGATGAATAATTTTCTTACCGTAAGCATTATAGGCTCACAAACTCTTTGCTTAAATTTGTCTCTGTTATTTCTTAGCCACAAAACAGCATCATAAGTGTCCCGGTACCTCTGTCTCAGCTTATCTTCCTTTTGATTCATAAGATTGTCAAAACGTTGAATATGGTCTTCCACATCTAAAATTGAAAAACAAAGTAGATTCTTTGAAAATTTTAATTAATGAAACAATCTATTAATAATTTCTGAGAGAAAAATGATTTTTAACATAGAATAATAATACATACAACAAAATGAAGAAAAAGAGATAAAAAGAATTAAAAGATATTCTTAGAAATACAAAGAGTCTGGAATTAATTTCCAAATCTCTTCTTAGGAGGTTATCTGCAAATGTACTCTAACAAAGTAAGGGCATAAAAGATACACACACACACACACACACACACACACACACAAAATAGAGGAATAGGCTTAGTCAACATAGAAAAGGTATGAAAGAAATCTCATATGATAAAATACTGATGGAGGCTTTGAGAATTACCAGTTTAGGTGGAAGCAGGATGAAATGTTATAGAATTCAAGGAAAGAAAAGATAGCATTCTCCCCTTTACTTAAGGAAATGCTAAAGAAAATGTTTTCTGTTTAAAAAAATAAAAAATAAACATAAATTAGCTGGGCACAGTGGCACATGCCTGTTACCCAAGTGACTCAGGAGGCTGAGGCAGAAGAATTGCAAATTTGAGGCCAGACCCAGCATTTTAGTGAAACCCTCAGCAGTTTATCAAGACATTATGTCAAAATAAAATAAAAAGTAAGGATAGGCTGGGCACAGTGGCACACACCTGTAATCCCAGTGTCTAGGGAGGCTGAAGCAGGAGGAAAGCGAGTTCAAAGACAGCCTCAGCAAAAAGTGAGGCTCTAAACAAGTCAGTGAGACCATGTCTCTAAATAAAATACAAAATAGGGCTGGGGATGTAGCTCAATGGTAGAGTGTCCCTGAGTTCAATCCCTGGTACTCACCCACCCAACCTCAAAAGGAAGGGCTGGAGACATAGCACTGTAATAAGTGCCCCTGTGTTTACTATCCAGTACCAAATAAAAAAAAGAAAGAAAAAAATTCATAAAGGTAAATTAAAACCTTATAAAAAGTTATGAATTAAAGGAAATTTAGCCATCATATACTACTTGGCTTGGCTATGAACAAGTTTTACTATTGTACTAATCAATACTTGGTATTATAAACTTCCAGAATTAACCCATAGAACACATAAAACTTAATTATGGTTCTCAATAAAATAGATGTGTCAAACCTTGAATATAAAAATGGGAGTATAGATGAGAGAGTTTTGAATGTGAGAAGCAAGGACAGGAGCACAGTGCTAGTATTTTAGATCACAAAATGTGTATGTAAACAATATGGACAATTGTTAAATGCCACAGAAAAAGGCATATTGCCAGGCGCAGTGGTATATGCCTATAATTCCAACAGTTTGGTAGGCATCAAATCACAAGTTCAAAGTCAGCATCAGCAATGGCGAGGCACCAAGCAACTCAGTGAGACCCTGTTTCTAAATAAAATCCAAAATAGGGCTGGGGATGTGGCTCAGTGGTCGAGGGCCTCGGAGTTCAACCCCAGTATCCAACCCCCAAAAAAGATAATCTGAGAAATTACAATAATTAGGGATGTATTATGAGCTAAAATCTACAAAATAACTATCAAAAAAATGATGTCTAAAATTGATTAATCAAGTGATAATGAGATAAGAATATGGTGAATATATGAAGATGTCTATTACAAAAAACTGCAAGAGTTAAAAGTGCTTACTCTTGAGAGTGGGTCTGGAGGTAGGAAAGGGGTTGCATCACCCTTTTCTTTTAGTTCTTTTTAACTATACACATCTAGAACTTTTAAAAGCATAAAAGTGTTTTTTATTTCCCCCACTGGTATTAGTCATATACAGTGAACAGAAAGAATATAAGATCTCCATCCAAATAACGCTACCAATTTATCCACATGGTCTACAGGAAAGAAAAGCAAAGATGAAACTGGACAGGTTTGAACGACCAAAGCTAATGGTTATAAAGTGTAGGATGAAGAGCTTAAATTTGATCTGAGTAATATTAAGTTACTCAGTAAAGAAAATAAAGTTAAGCATTTTTAGAAAATTAATTCTATTGTTGTAATTGGACATAAAAAATAATGATCAACCAGAAGTAAATCATATATAAGACAAATATAGGTAATAGGGCACAAGTTGGAAGAACTAAGTTTGCTCAGCAAGGAAACTTGAACAGTTTAAAAAAATAAGTATCAGGGAAGAAGAAAGGCCATTGTCAGAGATGAATCCCCATTTTAAGAAACTTACTCTTTTTCTCTTTCTCTAGAGTTTCCTTCTCTCTTCGTTTATCAATTATCTCGCCTTCACATAATGCCTTTTCATCTTGAACTCGTCTCAGATCATTTGTAATGGCATCAATCTGAGGCTGAAGATTCTCACAGTTTTCTGTGGTCTTTAATTCATTTTGCAAATCCTCTATCATTTTGCGAGTATTACTTATTCTCCTCTGTCTGTCTTGTTCTTCATTTTGTTTTACTGTTAGAGCCTGCTGAAGTTCCTCAATCTAATAAAACAAAAGTAGGTCAGTACCTAAGATTGCTTTTTCTCCTCATTTGTAAGGCTTAATACTGAAGTTTTACATGAGGTTGAGGATATGACTCAGTGATAGAGCACTTGCTCACCATGCTGAGGCCCCAGGTCCCACCACTAGCACCACAAGAAAAAACAAAAAACACCAAACTAAGAATATGGAGTTTTTTTTTCTCTCTACAAGGAATCCTACTAGAATTAGACTAGCAGATTGCCAGTTCTACCAGACTACCTATCTTGATTTGTTCACTAACATATCCCAAATACCAAGAATTGTACTTAGTATGAAATTACACACATAATAATTTAAACATAATGTAAATTATTTTTGCTGAATAAACAAAATAAAAAGCTAAATTTCTAAATAGTTAAAGTGAATATATACTATACATCATACAACCAAAATTGTTATGCTGTATAATATACAAATTTCAATAAATAATACAAATGATTATAAGTCAATTATAATTTCAAACCACAATATTTTTTTTGAACAAAATTATTTTCTACCTATACTTCAAGTTAATACTGTGAGATTTAAATTTTTTTTCTTTGTAGTACTGAGGATTGAACTCAAGGCCTCGCACATGCTAGAAGTACTCTACCACTGAATTGTATACATAGTTCTTGATGTTTTTTATTTTGAGAAAGGATCTCATCCTCCAAAATAATTGGGTCTACAGATGTGCACCATCATGCCTGGCTTTTAAATCAGTCTTTACACTTGAAGTTTTGGTTCATAATGTAAATTATTTTTTAAAAGCCAGGCGCACAGGTTGCCACCTGACATCAAAGGAATTTTTTTTTAATCTAAACCAAAGAGTTACCATTTTCTGTAAGACACACAAACAAATGTACACTTACATATCTAATTGATTTTTGTATAAGGAGAATTCTCTATTAAAATATTCAAGGTTCATATATTACACCATCTATTATTAGTTGACTTTATTTCTAAATCACTTATTTCCTTCTTTTCATTATAAAAGTTGTTAACATATTCATTACAAAAATATGAAAAATAGAGACTTTACAAATAAAAATCACTCAAAATATAAACAAACTTAAATTTTTACATTTAATAACAACCTATAAATGTCATAAAACACATTTTTTAAAATTAAAGGGCACCAATAAAAATTTACTGAGAGCAGTTTCTTAGTACCCATGTTCCTGCAAAATAAAATTTGAACACCTACATGATGTCCTGTTATATGGACATACTACACTTTATTATATTCCCTATTGTTGGAAATTTGGAATGATATAAATGTTTCCTTTCTAAAATTTATCTTGGTAGTATTATGACAATGAACAAAACATATGCTAAAATTCTTTCACCCTTACCAAACATAGAGAATGAGAGAAAACATGAAAAAAAATTAAGACACCTGTCATTGAAAATTAACAATGTTTAAAGAACCTGAAAGGAGGAAGTAGACAAGAAGCTCCAGTGTTCAGCCTGGAAACCCATGAAGTCCCAGGCCTTCAGAAGAATAAATGGGCATGTCACAGAAGACAAGTACAGAAATAAGAATTACTAGGCATGAAAAAATTTAAGTTCATGAAAAAGGAGCAAGACACACACAATTTAAATACACATGCTTTCTACTTCCAGTAAAACAGAAACCACTCAGCTCCTGAAAAAAAAAAAAAAAATCACTGGGTTGGCTTTTCACTTTGACCTTTCTTACCTTTGGGCTAAGTTTTTTGAACTCTTTAACTCACTTGCCACCCTCATCCAAGAAACTACCATGACTAATCACATTAGTCCTACCATGACTACCCATGTTTAGTTTGAGCAAAGTCTAAACCTTTTAGGTCACCCATCTTCAATGGGACACTACTGCCTTACTGATCAATATCTTCAATTTCTCCAAATGTATCTTATTCTAACTGAAAACTATTATTTCCAAAATACTTCTCTCTAGAGTGGTGACTTGCTATAACCCTACTACACTTCAGGACTCAGAAATGGAGGTGTCCTCATTGTCATGACATTCCTTCCTCCGTTAACTGAGCCTCACTTTAGTTCCTCTGAAGACCTGAAAGAAGACTTTGCCACCCATTATCCTTGTTACTATGTTAACCATCTCCCCTTCATATTACTCCCTGATATTATTCATTTATCAGATGACTTTGATTTACCATCTTCCTCTATTTAATTTATCATTATGCCTGTCATGTGATTTCAACCTAAACACGGAAAACCAATCTAACTTTTTGGTCTCTGTTCCCTTACTTCTGCAACTTCAGTTGTTTTCCCCTTATATTGTAGATCATGTAAATCACACTACTTCTGAAGACCATATTTTCATAACCCTACTGTTTGATAATCATTTCCTTTCCCTCTCCATCTAATTCATCTGACATTCTTATTCCAGCTATCCATTGGCCCCCACAAGGTCCTACAATCTATTGATGTACTACCTTTTCACAATACAACTCTCCTTCATTTATTTCCTCAAAGAGCACTACAACCACTCCACTGCAAAGACCCCTGAATCCTCCATTCCTATGTCACACTGGCCAGGGAAAAAAACTAGTATTAATTAAACCTAATTATATTAGTTCTATCTTTCTATATCTAAGCAACTGAACTACTGGAAAAAAATCAAAAACTGGTCTTTTAATTTATAATAATAAAATTTAAACAAGACATCAAAACTATCAATAACAAAATTCTCTAATAAATTTGTGCCCTCATTCCAATATAAATTCATATCTCTTCCTCCTGTCAATCTATTACTGCTGCCTTCCTCTACTCAGCTCATGACTTCATCTCATATTCCATTAATAGAATAATTAAAATCAAGAATTCTTCCTTCTTTCAAACCTACACTTCACCTACATTTGAGTTTACTATGTTTTATCTTATAAAATGTATAAGACAGTCCCTGTAGCTACCTAAATCTAACCCCTCCAACGCAACTCCAGACCAGTGTTTCTCAAATTATTTATGACAGACCATTTAGAAAAAAAAAAAGCCTGTCATTGCAAGTCAGCTTTTATTAATCATAATTTAAATTAATTATTAATAATCACTGGGAAAACAGTTTGGTAATTTTTTTTAATTAAAAGGAATTTATGATACTGTACTCTCGGGAAATTACACAAGAAAAATAAAAGCACATGCATACAAAATGATATACAAGAATATTCACAGCAACTTTATTGGTAATACCCCCAAAGCACTTAAATATATATATATAAAGGTTGAATGGTTAAACTGTAATCTAAGGAAAAATGAAAAAAAAACACACTACATTTAATAAAAATAAAAATATAGAATATCAAAAATTGCACCACAGCTAACGCAGTAATGAGAGAAAAATTTGTAGCTCTAAGAGCTATAAACAATTTATAACCCAGCTGTCCATGGTGGTGTACATCAGTAACCTAAGCTACTTGGGAGGCTGAGGCAGAAGGATCTCAGTTAAGTCTAGCCTGGACAAGATAGTGAGACCCCCTACACAAACAAAAAGAAAAAGGAAAGAGACAAAAACAATGTACAGGGTAAAATTCTCAAAAAAATAAACCAAGCTCTATCTTATAAACCTAGAACAGAACACCAAAATAAACCCATATCAACCAGAAGAAAGAAAACAATAAAGGATAACAACAAAATTTGAAAATAATAAAACAGAAAATAATGTAAAAAGAACTGTTTTCTTAAAAAAAAATCAATAAAGTTAACACACCTCTAGCAAGAATGACTAAAAAAGGAGGGGTGGGGGGAAATGTCAAAAGAAACAAACTTCCCATGGAATGAAATAGAAATATCACTATTATCTATACTTACCAAAAGCATAGGAGAATTTATACATACAAATTTGACAAATGAGACAAAATAAACCAATTTCTTATAAAACACAAACTATCATAACTCTCAACTAATATGAAATAATTATCTGGATAACCTGAAAACTACTAAGGAAACTGAACTCAAAATCTTAAAACTTCCCCCAAAGAAATCTCTAGGCCCAGCTAGTGTCACTTGAGAATTATACAAAGTGTTAAAAAAAAAAAAAATTAACAATTCTACACAATCTCATCCAGAAAACAGAAGAGGAGGGATTACTTCCCAATTCATTTTATGAAGCTAGCTATTACCTTAATATCAAAAGCAGATAAAGCACCATAAGAAAACTACAGAACAAAATCCCTCAGATACAGAAGCAAAAACTCTTTAACAAAATGTTTGCAATATATTTATATGTAAAAAGAACTTACATTTATATACCACAATCAAGTGGGGTATTTCAGGGACGTAAGGTTGATTTGATGTTCAAAATCAATGCTGATCTATCATATTAATAGGTTAAAGAAAAAATTATACAATCATATCAATATATATAGCAAAGCACTTTTATAAAAAATGAAGATTAAAATTCTCAAACAGGGGCTGGGGATGTGGCTCAGCAGTAAAAGTGCTTGCCTGATTTGCATGGGG